CCTCAGGAGGTGGTGAGCTCTCCTTCATTGGATGCTTTTAAGTAGACTTTGGATCCATCTGTCATGGATGCTTTAGTTGAGATTCCTGCATTGCAGGGGATTGGACTAGATGACCCTTTCCAGCTCTACAATTCTATGATTCTACGACCTAACTTTTTCTCTCGGTATGTGGTATGTGTATGGAAATACTATACATATTCTGCAAATTCTCCTAAAATTCAGGTATGTTAAATGGTTCTGTTAAATGGTTCCACTGACAGCCCCGGCTCAGTCTTGCAGTCTGGGTTCATCACTGATCATTCTTGATCCAGTTGATTCCTCCCGCTCCATTTAAGGATTGCAGCTACCGCCAGGGTAAGAGTTACAATCAAAGAATTAGAGAACAGAAAAAGGGTTCTATAAATCCCTTTAACACAGCTTACCAGTAGAACCATCCAACAGAAGTCTAAACACCATCATATATAAACTGTGTATCTTTTTTCCCCCCTTTTCCATTGCTACTTCAATTATTATGCTATTTGCAATGCATAATGCAAAATACTTTCAGCCAAAGTATTTGGATGCATGCCACTGAAACCTACACATTATGGACTAAATCACATTTGAGTCCATGTACCTCAGCTTAACTAGATCAGGCAATATAAAAAGTGATTCTGCTTGGAATTATATACGCTCAACAGATCTGTTAAATCATTTAGAAAAATCACTTGTTAGGCATAATCCTTTTGTACAATCAATTTTAAGGATCATAAGGTGCTTTAAAAGCTAATTCTAACAATTATTATTCATATTGTTCATACAAGTAGAGGCTATCATAAACTTAGGGGTATTGGTGATTCTAGCTACTTTCAAATGAGAATGAACCATGGTGAATCTTAATGGTTGATTTAAAACAAGCCAGCATCATAAACCATGCATGTATGGTTGACATACATACAAGAAAATTGGGAGTTTCTGGGGTGAAATAATTATACATACTCATCTGGTATACTTGCCTAAGCCAGTGAAGTGTACACCACACAAAAAGACTCAAAGTGATAGAAATGGATCCCTCAAATGCAAACCTATTCCTTAAAGAAAATATATCCCTATGTAACATTGGAACATTAGAACACACCACTTCCTTAGACAGACAGACTAAAAGGTAAAAGGTTAAGGTACCCCTGCCCGTACGGGCCAATCTTGACAGACTCTAGGGTTGTGCGCCCATCTCACTTAAGAGGCCGGGGGCCAGCGCTGTCCGCAGACACTTCCGGGTCACGTGGCCAGCGTGACAAGCTGCATCTGGCGAGCCAGCGCAGCACACGGAACGCCGTTTACCTTCCCGCTAGTAAGCGGTCCCTATTTATCTACTTGCACCCGGGGGTGCTTTCGAACTGCTAGGTTGGCAGACAGACAGACTACCTACGCACAAATACTTCCATCTAGAACAAACATTTGATGCCACCACCAAATTCTCACTAAAATGCTACCTTATAGGTTGCTTATACCTGTGACCACCTGAGAGCACCCTGGTATGAATTAGAAGAATATATACAGGACTGCAGAAATTCATGTTCTTAGAGGCTCAAAAGAAGGCTACTAAGATCACATAATCCACAGTCCTTAAACTTGGGCTATAATCCTAAACACCCTTACTTTTCACAATGTACCCATGAAGTTAGGGATGTATATTTCCAAGTATTAGCCTGGACTATCATCCAGGTTGTGTATGTATTTATTTTCTTTTTATTTCATTTTTTTAAACAACACTTAAAACAAACAATATAGAATAAAAATAAAAAGTGAAAATGTGGGGGGGAAGGGGGGAAAAAGGAAGATACGGTATATTATAAACCTATAATTATTAGCTATTACACAATACAATTCCATTTGTACCTATCTTATATAACCAGGTTGTGTGTCTGATTCACATACTATATTATTTCTATGCAACTGAGGGCACATATAAGGATGATCACACTGAAGGAATTCAATAGTCTTGTCAAAGATGTGAAATGGTTCTATGATTCTATATTTTTTTTCTTGGCAACTTGATGATTTAAAGGCTCAAGCTGTTCATTCTCATTAGCTTACTCAACCACTAGCTTTGTGTATTCAATTATATATCCCATTATTGATTAAGCCTTAGTGAGTATAAGCTCATTTGCTCAGAACTCTATTTACTCAAGGAAAAGTTTATTACAACTATTCTTAGGTGTAGAAGCCAGGGGTACCGGGGCATTTATTCTGTATCTATGTGAAAGTGAATGAAAAAGAAATCAAATAGGTTTTCTAGTTGCCAAATGAAAGCAGACATATTTTGTATTTTTATTGCATTATTATTTATTACATTATTGTAAATTTTAACCACAGAAATCTCTTTTACAAAAGCTGGATTATCTAGAATTAGTTTAAATTTACATCTAAGTTTTTTATTATCTGAATAGTTTCTGAATCCGTGTAGAGCAAATTGGTGATTTCAGCTCATAAATATAGATATCTCATGGTGCCTCTCTCTCCTCAAAACTGCGCTGATCCATTTTGACAACACATTACAAAGCTAAACGTGTCAAATTGGTTACTGCCTATATCACAGTGAACACTTGACATAATTAAGAGATGCCTTCCTCAAGTCAACTGTTTTCATTTTATTCAACATGTCTTCAATTCTGCATCTTCCATACCCCCCCCCCAAGGTAATATTCATTTTGAGGTTACCCATCTTATAAATTCCCTATCACCTCTGTCTCTTCTCTCCATGCTTCTTAATAGTGGCGATTCAACTGTGCCACCACAGCAGCTAGCGCATGCTGGAATAACCTCAACCAAGCTTATTTGTGCACTATCAGGCACCAAGCAAAGAAAGCAATGGGAGAATACCAAACCATACAGAATGTTGCAGCACTTCCAGAAACTTCCCCAGTGTCTATGGCAGCACCATCAATTTCCACCAATCAGAGAGAAGTATTTTCTCCACACTGAGAAAATACAACCACCCCCTACACAAAGTTCAAGGGGAAGTTTTCCAAGTCAGAGAATGGGCAAGAGTTAAAAGCACCTGATTTTAGCATACAAGCACTTTTGACAGGATGTGATTAAACTCAGCAAGGAGAATTTCTCCCCCACTACTTGTGGTAAAGCCTGCTGTAGACAGGCTTTTCAGAGGCAAATGAGAGGAAGGGGGGGTGAGAAGGAGGCTCATTAAGGATTATACCTTTTACCCTACGCTTGAATCAATGTCTCTCCAATCTTTCCAACAAAGTCCTTTAAATATGTCTATGGTTGCTTCCAGATGACTTGCTAACTGAACATTTATCCTGATTTGTTTGCACAAATGTGCAGGGATGTTCTTTGATGTCAACTGTCTGTTGAACTGATTTTTGTTTCTGGGGAGGTTATATGACATTGTGTTGACATTGTGTTGAGTAATTATCCACACTTTACAGTGTATTGCCCCATCATTTTCCTTACTGAAGAAAAAAAGATCCAAGTTTGGGCGGGGGGGGGGGGGATTAGTTGCACAAGCGTGCAAAATTCACCAACTGCGCAACTTGAATGTGCTGCTATATAACTGAATCCCATTCACAAAACAGTGACAGTCTGAAAATGCCCTAGTTTCCAAGTTTTGCAAAATACATATATATCTTAGAATAATCGCATCTTAATTTTACAGAACTTCTACAAAGGAAAATTCTGCATTTATGATAACGGTTACCTTCTAATACAGAGGTTTTCAACCTTTCTGAGTCCACGACTCCCTTGACCAACTACATTCTTTCTGCAGTGCCCCTGTGGGGCTCAGGAGCCCAGTTATGTCACCCCTTGCCTGCAGAGCTGGCAGCTCTCACCCTTTTTTGAACACCCTCCCTTGTGGAGTGTTCCCTCAGCCTTTTCTCCTCTCCCCTGTCCTTGAGCAGCCACTGCTGCCCCCCTTGGTCTCTGAGCTGCCCCCCCACTCCAAAGAGAGTTGCCGCCTCACACAGAGGATGCCCCCAGCCTTAGTGGCCCAATAGAGATTGGCCAAAGGTGAACATGAGGCCACCATCTTACTCACCTTGGGAGGCAGCAGTGGGCGCCACTGTGGAAAGGCTTCCCTTCAGTTTCGGACACTCAGATACCAGGCAGACATTTCACACAGCTAGCACAAAAAAGGCCAGTGGTCAGTGCCTAGCCTCCCATTTGTCCATCCATTCCCAAGAGCAAGGGCTGGTGGACTAGCTGGCTGGGCTCCCTTGCTTGCTTACTCCGAGGCTCCTCAGTTCCTGACAACCAGCACCCACTGGCCAGCCCCAGAGGCACCATTCGCCTGTGGAGCTTGTAGCCAGGGCTGAGGCAACAACCAGCTGTGCAAAGCTTTGAGAGGCAGAGACACAAGGAGGGAGGGAAAGAAGGAGGGACAGAGGCCACTGTTCTAATAGAACCAAGTAAGGCTGGATTAATACATCCTTATTATACCACAGCACTGGCTTCAGCCAGAATTTGTTTTCCCCTCTTTTTCAGTTAGCTGAAAAGTTCCATTTACAGCAACACAGTTGTAGGTGCTTGTCAACTACAACAGAAATTAATCTGAATTTCTATTATATAGAAGGGCAGGTCCAGGGTGAGCCTGTGACACACATTTCCTGTCCCTTTAAATATAGCATTAGAAATGCTTCTCCTGAACGACTATTTTTATTCAAAATGGAACTGGGAATTGTTCCACTTATACTGGCTCATAGAAAGAGGTGAATTATCTATTTCAGAACTTCACCTCCATCTGGTCTGTAGAAAAATTTTCAGTAGTAACAAAAAAATAGGAATTATCTATAGCTAGTTGTGCTTAAAACCCATGTAATAAAGACTGTATAATTATTCCATATTTTATTGCTATTAATATCTCTCACGTTTAGCAAATGGGCTTTTTAGGGTTTATCCTTTTTTCTGGACTAATAAAGGTGTAGTTTGGGATACTGGTATCCATTATTCAACTAAATTAATTTCATGCTGTAATGAAGTAATAGGTGGAAGAAGCCTCTAACCTGTTGTGTAATGGTATCCCAGGGCCCCTGCCAGAGCTGCTCCCTGTAGCATTCATGTACACCTTTCCATATTTCATCCAGAGTTAAAGGTCTTCCATCTGGAAAAAAACAATAATTGTAATACATGTATCTCCACATACACACACGAAATGCAGATAATTCAAAAGCAAAAACAGAAAACACAGAGAAAATTCTATTTCCTTTAAAAGATGCCACAACAACATCTGGGATGTTTGTGTATGTGGCTGGGTGTGTGTGTGTGTGTGTGTGATGGAACATGGCCCAACCCTGCTGAGTGTTTTGTAGCTGTCATGTCCACGTAGCAGAATAACTGCCCTCTTCAGAGGCTCACCATGCAGTATTGATTGGTGCTTACTCTTGTATCCTGGATAGTTGCTGAGGTTTTATAACAGAATGAAGTTACTGTATTGAAAAGAAACATATGATCTTTGCCCAAGTATTTGTTTTTGACAAATGAGAGACTATTTTGATGCTTTTTCAATAAGTATCATTATCTTGGCATTTATCAGGTGTCAGGAGGCCATTATCCTGTGATAAATAGTTTTATTCCACTGACATTTTCATGTCCGTGAAATAAACAAGATTTATTCGTCCAATTAACATTTGAATGTCATGTTTAGATACAATCCGAAATCCTGTTGCCATCAGATTCAGTTTTATCTTATTTTTGTTGAGCACACTCAAAATGGAAGACAAACTTCTCTGTTGACATCTTACCAGTGGTAACTTCAATGTAGGAAAATAAAATGGTGAGCAAGCAAAGTCAACAATATCTATGTAGGGAAATAGGATTTTATTGCATTATGTGATAAAATGATACACAAGCCACAACTACTAATGAGGCAGTTGGAGCATGCCCTAAGTTACCACACATAGAGGAAATGCAATTGAAAAGGTTCCTGGTGATCTCCTTTGTGTGGTTTTTAGTACTGGAGAGCACACAAAGAGCAAGCAGATTCCTGCTGTGGAATTCCCCTCCTCCATCTGTCTGCTGCTTCTGGAGGTTATGTAAGGATTTTTTGCTTAGATAAGTATGACAATCTCTTATTACTATATTAATTTGTCAGCACATAATTTAAATTTCATATTTGACTTGCTATTCATTCAAATGTTCACTGTTTAATCACTGTAAAGAGAGTAATAGGGTAAAAAAACCTTATAGATATAACCACACATAAATACATAAAATAATCTATGCTGTAATATACATACCTGACCATGTCTTAAATTCAATTTGTTGGTCCTCAGAAACCACAAATTGCACTTTATGTTGTTTCCTCTAATCCCATAATAATATCTAGATCAGAAGGTCTTACTCTACTAGGCTGACACCCACACCTGGATTGCTGTGTTGGACCTAAAATGGGTCACACCAGCAACACTACCATGATACAAATAAATGATAAAAAGAAAAAAAATCATTTTATCTATAAATATAAAAGGGGAAATTTCAGGCTTCTGAATTCTCACTAAGAATTAAGCTTCATTTAGGTTTTTAATTTATAAAGAATAGTGTGAATTTGGGGTGAGTTTTGCCTCTTTCAGAGATCAAAGCTTTATCACTTAGCATTTCACAGAGATGTGATTGCACTTACTGAAGTTGTTATAAAATAATATTCTCATTGACTATTACCCTTCCTCAGTTGTCATACAGAGGCAAATGTTCCAGCAACAATAGTTTTGAAGATTATGAATCCTCACGTGCTATGTTTTCTATGTTGGAAATTTAGACATGATGTTTACATACACTTCTATTTTGGTGCATATACATGAGCTGAAGAGTCACAAAAATGGACAGGTGCAGGGAAGTCTACACAGAAAGCTCATCTTATGCCAAATGAATTTAGGATGAAATGCTATGCATGTCGCCCTGCTAAACATGCTTCCTTGTTAAAACTAGGATTGCCTCTTGATACACTACCAGTATCACATTTCTAATTTATCTGTTGTCAGCAGCTAAGCCGATACACTTCACCAGAAATTGCTCATAGGACACTGCTGCCAGAAAATCACAACCATACAGATGATGCAATAATGAATCATGCAACCAGAAGCAGCATTATGTATGCAAGTGGTAAAAATACAACCAAGAGAAAAATAATGTATTGTTTTCTCTCTAGCATAGACACATTCCAAAACGTTTAAAATTTTAAATATTATGTTTTCTGTTGGTTTTATTTATTGTTTAACATTAATGATTGAAGTATATGTTTTAGAAATGCTCAAAAATGTGTGTGTGTTTGTGTGTGAGTTTTAATATACACTATACACTAACAACACAATCCTAAACCTGGCTTTTGCAATGTCACACACCACAATTTTATACTAATGACTCAAGTCTGACACACCAACATACACAGGATTGGGGTGCAAGTAAATAATATTTCCTGATGCAGGTGGAACAGAAAGAGAAATCTGGGTGTCATCTGCATATTGGTGACAGCTCATTCCCAATTTCCCGATGACAGCTCCCAGAAGCTTCAAACAGATACTAAATGGGGAGGGGGCAACATGGAACTCTGTGGGACAGCAGAGGACTTCAGTGGCACTTCATAACTACTTTCTGGGAATGGCCTCAAAGGTGCTAGTGGAACTATCATAACTTGGTACCTCTAACCACCACTTCTCAGAGCTGTTTCAGAAGGATACTGTGGTCAACAGTACTGAAGTCACCAACAGGTTAAAGAGACCAAGCAGGGTCACACTCCTCCTCCTAGCAAATATAATCAACCGGGGCAACCAACACAATTTCAGTATCATGACTGGGTCAGAGTTTGAACTGAAATGGGTCTAGTTAATCAGTTTCCTCCAAGCATGTCTGAGACTGGACAACCATCTCCCTCTTAACTAAATTGCCCCCAAATGGGATACTTGCCACTCAGTGATATTTTTGGATCCAGGGAGGTCCCTTTAAGTAGTGCAATAATCAAAACTGATTTACAGATAGAACAGTCAGTGTTTTGGATGCCTCTGTAGGACTTGCTCTAATCATGGTGTCCAGTTCTGTCCGAATCTATCCCTAAAGTGCCTTGCAAAATTGTAACAAATAATGGTTGACCCTGATCTCAGTCAGGCAGTGTGTTCAAGGAAACAATCTGCACAACTCACTCTGCTGATATGTGATGTGACGTGTGTGTGCGGCACATGTGTGTATTTGTGCCCCACCTAATGGTGCTCAAGGCGGAATTTTTGCCCATGGTAAGGCAGCTCCAACACCACTGCTGCTACATATAAAGGACACCTAAGATCGGTTGGAAAGATCTGTTAAATTGGGATATGCTACACTATTTAGGTCAGAAGGGGGCTGCTAAAAAGATATAAGGAGGCCCTAGTTTATTGTAGAAATCCTCCAAAAGTCATTATTTTCTATTGTGAAAAACTCCCAAGAAGAGTGCTAAAATGTATAATTATACTTGCAGGAACAATTAAAACTCTGTACTGCAAGGGGAGCTGTTGGCACACAATACAAAGATTGTACATTAGATCATCCATCAGCTTCTGTAATATCCACTTCCAGCTATAAGGAGTCATGTTTCAACACCTCCGATTCCCTGATGCTGACAAGCTAAACAACTTGTTTTGTCTCTGGGAGCTCTTCTCTGGTGATTAACTGCTTATAGTGAATACTAATTATGTGAAAATACAGTACTGTAAAAAAAAAAAAAAGGTGGGGGGAGAACTGCCCTACTTCCTTTACCTGCAGCATCACCATTCCCAAACTCCCCACTTGCTTCTAAGAGGTATATGCTATTGTTCCATCTAATACAAATATGATGACATTATATCACACTACAAATAAATTAATGTGCCTACTGTATATTTTGAAAACACTAAGTGACTTGGGCAGCAAGATTTTCTTTATCCTGCCATTTGCAGACAAGTTAAACAACAGTGTATTGTTACTTCGTTAAATGTTTGCAATAACCACAAGCACGTATATAATTGCAGTGTGGTATGTGTGAATTAGGGAACTATTACTAGGAATGGAGCCTGATATATGTCCACAATTCCCTACATCCTAACTTGAAAATATACCCTGAATTGTCATTTGCGTGAAAATGAACCTCAGATTAAAATCCCTTTTACCAGAGGAGTCAGAGAATTTGTTCTTCCATTTTACATCCAAAGAGCTGGTTAAAATGCTAACATGGCAAAATTAAAAGCCATTAAACAATATAAGGCAGCGAGTGATTAAATCTACCAAACACATTCAAAGCAGCTTAAGCTACTTTTTAATTAAAAAGAAAAAAGATATCACTAGCAACATTCAGATGTGTTCATCTAGATAAAGCTAACAGATCATTCCTAACACAAAAGCTACTGATACTGCTATACAGAAGACTAAGTTTAGAAAATGACCTCAGGATTCCAACTCCCTGGCCTCAGGTACAGACTCCTTGGGCAGAGCAGAGTAGCATATAGACACTGCTACAAGTATGATCACTCTTTGCCTGCTAATTAAGTAAGCATTACTAACAGTGGCCTTGGAGGAGGCAGTGTTCCACCTTCCTGACAAAGTAAGGGAAGCAGCAGTGGAACATTGGTTGCAACAAAGATTGAAATGAAAATACCAAAACCAATGCATGCCAATGAAAATACATAAAGCTAACTTTTGGCACAAAGAGCTTTAAAATTATTATTGTAATTGTTGAAACATGATAAAGTAAGGGGTGTTCTCTATTTAATCATTCTCAGCCAGAATACATTATTAATTTAAAATGAAAATTCTGGATAAGTACATATTCAAGGGCATCTTTTCAGAAGTTGGCCCCATTTCTGAGTCTGACACAGTAGATTTTTCTTTTCTTTTTTTTAAGAGAAATTGCCAGCAGGTTTAGTTAACCATAGGCTTGCTGCCAGGACTCTTAAGATCAAACTTATTCAGGCTGAGATGATATCATCTGCCCCAGGATACTGATATTTACAGAATCTGAAATATATACAACAGCAACCACCATACGCTAATATTTTTTCATCCTTTTATTTTCCTGCTAATCCAGTACATTTTCTATGTCTCATAAATACTCCATGTGCACATTTTCTTTTTAATAATTGTTTCATGAAGAGGACATCTTACCTAAAAAACATGCCCTGAAATAAAGTACAGGAGCTTGATAGCTGCAGGAGTACAAAACATGATATTCATAGCGTATCACTTCAGATGCTGCAGAGTTTCCAGCCACTTGAGAGTCATCTAGACATTCCTGAAACAAACATTAACAGTGGACATAACCAGAGAGAATGGGAATGAAATACAAATGAATAAATACCTTAAATAATCATAAATGCTATCACCATGCTGTCACCTGCCTTATCATAAGATTATAATTTTAGCAATCACTTCACATTCTTCAGGCTGCCTTCCTTTTTAAAACTTTCACATGTATCTTTATCTCTTTACTTGTTGACTTATTAATTAAAATACAATATTTTTTAATGAGAGAAAGGTTTCTTAATTAATATCATAGGCAAGTTCCTAGAGAAAACTTCTAAAACTTACTCCGCCCTTCAGAACTCAACTATGGAAAGGGCATGTATGAATTGAGCAGGTCACTTCCAAATTAATAATCTGCAATTGTTAAACACATTCAGGCATCCAGAGTGATTCATGTGCATTATCTAATTGCACCCCTTACAACAAAATTGTAGGAGAAATTCATTATTATTATCTCCCAGAATGCAGACAGGACGACTGAAGCTAAGACAGAACGGCTTGCCCAAGACTGTCTAGTGAGCTCATACCAGAGCTGAGATTTAAATATGGGACTTCCTGATTCAAAGTTCAGTTTCTTAGCCATGATGCTACACCAATTCCCTATTATGTCTGTTTCACCTATAATGTTCTTTCTAACCCAAGAAAGGATAATCGATGTACTTTACTGTAAGCACTTGCAGATGGCAGGGAGGGTGCCAGCACTAACCTCCCCAGTTGCCTATGCTGATGCTGCTGCACACTGGGATGGAGAGGAAGAGGTGGTGGTAAGGTCAGTGCAGTGCAAATGCACCAGCTGAGGGAACTGTTATATAAATCTAGCCTGGGTCAATTCACACAGGCAAACCCACACAGAAATCAACAGATGTTGAAGCAATTGTATGATTTTTATGACACTTCCAGCTTGCACCATGTTTTGCTACTAAACCTGGTTTAAGCAACTTTGCGGTGGCATGGTGAATTAGGCTAGGTAGATGGACAAGTTATTATCAAACAGCTTTACCACTGTCTATATTCTGCATGGTTACATTCCACCCATTTTGTCAACATACCAGTTTAGTTCTGTGAAATATTACAGTTACTGCTGACGAGCTTCCAGTCAATTTGAATTGTAAACTAACCTCAGATAATTTCCTATATAATTCAATTTATGTGGAACAAATGCCAATGTCAAGATTGAAAGAGACAGTAGGCTTGATGCTTTTTTTATTTAAAAAAAATTATTATTAAAGAACATATACTTCAATGTCATACAAAAATAAAGAAAAGCAACACAACTGAAAGAAAATGAAATTTAACATCCCTCATCCCAAAAATAAATAAACGTGGGTTGTTTAATTCACAATCTGGGGGAGGAGTATTGGTGTGTTGGGGTAATAACTTTTTTAAAAAGATGTTTCATTTATAAATAACACAATATTGTACTCAAGGTATGATATTCTCACTTAAAGCTGAAAAGATACTAAAAATTCCAAATATTAGCATATTTCACAGAAGGCATTTGAGCACTGCTATCATCGTTCATATATAAAATAAACAGCTTGGTGCAATTTTTGAAGAGAAGAAAAGTCCACACAATCCCTCCAATTCTGTTCTTGCTACTATATTGCACTACTGATTTTTTATTTATTTTTTTGGTAGTTTATAAACCTTTGCAACCATGTTATTGAAAACAGAGCTCTTAAACTGACTAAAAGGAGACCATTACTGAAGTAGGAGTAAATAATGATATGGTGAAAATATCTAAGCTACAAGGGAGGTGGAGCCTAATGCAGAGGTGTTTATTAAACCCTCCCAAAAGATCACAATTAACAAATTAATTTACTGGCAAGTACTGGTGTTCAAAGGCTTTGGAAATGAGGCCATTAACTTCTCTTTTTTCTTTTTAAAAAACATGCTTCATGGAGTGAACTAAAAGGAAATACTGGAACATATTTGTCAAGATAACACAACTGATGCATTCACAGTATAAAGGCAGCACGCCTGCCAGAAAAACGTGCATATGTGCGCACAAGCTGAGTAATGGCATGCTTCCAAACTCATGCCTTATACAGCCATAGAATTTGTAGGTACACTTGGTGACAACCAGCTGTGAGTTCAAAATTCACTTTACTGATTTTTCTGGGTGAAGTACTGAATGACTGAATGGCTGAAAAAACAGCTTCCCTAAGAACACAGTTGGCGGTATCATATGCCTCTCAGGTTGTTAATGAACTTTAATTCTTCCTCCTACATTAGAAAAATGCCAGAACGGATCATGTTAAAGATGGTAGACTTGTGTTAAACTTGACTAAACACTTAACATTATGTTCCAACTTGGTAGTAGCCAACAGCCTGATCTTATTCAGAAAATAAAACCAGTATATGATTTAAAATAGTCAAGATTGAGCACTGGAAAGATTGAGCATTGGAAAAACAGAACAGCAGTATTTTCTAGAAAGATTCTGAAGCAATTTTTAAAAAGATGAAAACCTGTTCAATAGACAACTATAACACAACATGCTTTTTTATAGAGAAAACATTCCTGGTTTTTACTAGATATTCAGAGCTCTCATTTTTGCCTGCCTTGTTTCTAGAAATATGATGGCTTGCTATATCTGTGATCTATAAACATACAAGGACTTCTGAATCCTTCTTAAGGCCAGCTCTAATCCCTTTTTATTTGGTAAACACTAGTAACAGGATGCATGACATAAAGGCTTGAGTACTCATGTGTAATATTTTTCTCTGTACTTCCAATAGGGTGGATGAAAAGAATTTACCAAGGGGAAGTCAACTTTGGTCTCTGTAAATGTTGATAGCATCATTTTCTGAAGCTGAGCCATGTTCTAACTGAAGTTCATTTTAAGTCACCTTAATACACCCTTTACAGTATTTGACGCTCCCTGTGAATGAAAAGACCACAAAATCTGAGAGATTATTCTGTTTAGTATTATGTGCAAAGGAAAATAAATTGTGCTTTTAAAACAAATTATCCTAGCTTTAGCTATAATGATTAGCAATCACATTAAGTAGCAAAGAAACAAGGAATTTTCCCCCCTCATCACTAAGAAATGTATAATACACCATAGGATACATTTCTTTGGACATGATTCTGCCTCATGTCCTAAAAGCAAAGTATAAAGAGGCCCTATTTGGTAATTAAAATAGCCCTTCCTTTTCCTTCCATGCTGGCAAACCACAGCTGTGCCAGGTGCACATAAAAGTGACCAACTGGTTATGGTAAACCAAGTCCCTCCTGCACCATGCCTTCAGGTATATTATACCAACTAGTTTCTGCTTTTTAGTCTCTCCTGCTGTGCAGACTACTTGGAGCAGGAGTGATAGTCCACAATTACAAAACATTCCTATGAGGAACCCCTCTGTCCTCTTCACCAATGCTGACACAGCAGAATATTTTAATTTTGAAAGACAATGCAATCTGTTTTTATTGTTAATAGTGCATCATTGAATTCAACTCATGGTGTTTAATTCAGCTAAGTCAGCCTTAGGGCAGATCCAATGAAATCAATAGGCCTGACTAACTTAAGTCCACTGAGATGACAAAGTTGGATTCAATAAGGAAGTTGGGCATTCCAAACAGCATGGGAGGCCTTCCTCAGCAGAAGAAGCTCTCCACTTCAGTCTTTTGCCCTTCATGATTTGAGGGGGGCTACAGGAAGGGCAGATCTTAGGAGATTTATTCCTGTTCTCACTTTTTTAGGTACTGATTTTACACACAAGCAGAATGCCCAAATAGGGCCATAGACAGACATGCACCACAAGCAGACTAGCAATTTTATCCTCAGCATTCAGTTTATTCTGAAATGATTTCAAGTGATATTTAGTCTTAGGATTTACTGCTGCGGATTAAAATAAAAGTCATTTTATTATATACAGTGGTACCTCGGGTTACATACGCTTCAGATTACAGACTCCGCTAACCCAGAAATAGTGCTTCAGGTTAAGAACTTTGCTTCAGGATGAGAACAGAAATCGTGCTCCAGCGGCACGGCAGCAGCAGGAGGCCCCATTAGCTAAAGTGGTGCTTCAGGTTAAGAATGGTTTCAGGTTAAGTACAGACCTCCGGAACGAATTAAGTACTTAACCTGAGGTACCACTGTATGTGAATTGGTTTATTATGCTGTTATAGTTTTTGTGCTGCTCCTATAATTCTTTTAGATGCACTAGTGTGTTTTAGAATATGGGTAACACCCACCACCATGTGTATCAACTTCCACTTGCATAATGGAACCTCTCCTTCCCCATCTTCTCGAGCAGTTTATGGAGACTTGTGATGAGTTACCGTGGAGGAAAGGAAAGGGAAACTCTGTTGTGCAAGTGAAGTGTGTTAGGCAACTGAGTAATCATAACTGGAGGTCACCTTAATTTTTGATAATTTTATGGTTTGTTTTTAAATGGTATTTAATATTGTGTGCTGCCTTTGAAAGGGTACCCCTGAAAGGCAGTCTAAAATATTGAAACTGAAATAGTATAAATAAATGGATGTGTCATAACAAACAATTAACTACTCTAATAAATGCAACTGAAACAATGCAGTACAAAAAATAGTTCTATTACTGCTCAATTCATTTTGCATTATGCTGGTTGCATTAATGTAACTTGCACTGTTTTTGACTGGTTTTATGAAGGCAGCACTAAAGTCTGTTATCAAAAGATTTGCTTGCAGAATGGTGAGTAGAAAGTTATTATATTCAACTGTTTCAAAACAGGATTTAACTTAATTTAATTCAACAGGAACTAATATTTTCTAGAAAAACAGCATACAATCACTTGATTTTCCCCACTTATTTTCTTCTCCATGATAATTTCACTTGCATGGCTGCCACACTGCATAGGAAAACTGAATCTGGGACTGACTGTTTCCTAAACAAATTGGGAAGTTGTCATCAGGAAGCATCTGTTATTTTATTACACTCACGTAAATGCATTTTTGTGCTATCATAATGGAGTACTGAGCAGATGCTTTAAAGCACTATACCTAGTGCAATAAATGCTTAATAATAAAAAGAAAAGTAGTTGCCATCTAATTAATGATACAAGTTGCTTTACAAATGCATTCTCACAAGCAAAATTTGTCAATCATCGGGTGGGTTGTTGTTGTTTTTTTAAAGTATTATGCCTGCTTCCAAAATGTTATCAGTTCTGTTCCCTTTAACACTATATTAGAATTGTTGGGGGGGGGGTTGAGAGAGAAAAGTTAATACAACATATACACTTCTCTTTTTGCAAACAAAGGATTTTTGTCTTCACAAAAAGCTCTTCCAACAAGACCCTTCACACAAAGTTCAACTGTTAGCAGAAGTCGTTAATTTGACTTTGGCATTGACTGGTCCAGGTCAAGGCAGAACACAAAGTGAGCAAAGGCTATTCTTGAGAAAGAGGTAGGCCGACAGATGTTGTGGTCAAACAAGGAAGGCAACTGTTACAAAAAAGAGGCTGCAACTTTTCTTCCCCATCCTCAAATGTCACACAAAGCTTGGTCCAGATCCTTTCTGAAGCAAGATTCTCCAGCATTGCAGATCCAGCTTGCAGGCATTTTAACAGTCTGAAAAAGTGATAGTGGAATAGGGTGATATGAAATAATAATAATAATAATAATAATAATAATAATAATAATAATAATTTATTTGTACCCCGCCCATCTGGCTGGGTTTCCCCAGCCACTCTGGGCGGCTTCCAACAAAGATGAAAAATACACAAAAATGTCACATATTAAAAACTTCCCTGAACAGGGCTGCCTTCAGATGTCTTCTGAATGTCAGGTAGTTGTTTATCGCTTTGACATCTGCTGGAAGGGCGTTCCACAGGGCGGGCGCCACTACCGAGAAGGCCCTCTGCCTGGTTCCCTGTAACTTGGCCTCTCGCAGTGAGGGAACCGCCAGAAGGCCCTCGGAACTGGACCTCAGTGTCCGGGCAGAATGATGGGGGAGGAGACGCTCCTTCAGATATACTGGACCGAGGCCGTTTAGGGCTTTAAAGGACAGCAACAACACTTTGAATTGTGCTCGGAAACGTACATGGATGTATTTGCAAGACTGCAGTCCTTCCTACACCTCTTCAACAAACTCCCTTGCTCTCCTACTGCTAACTGTAACTCCCTTCAAAATTCATATTGCAGAGTCAAGTCTTGATCCCATCAACAGAAAGTCAGGAGAGGCACAAAGTTTCTAGTATGATTATCTGAAAAGCTATTGGGTCTGAAAGATTTTTTAAAAAAGTAAATGCAAACCATTTAGTGTTAATGAGACTCCAGTACTTTGACCACCTCATGAGAAGAGAAGACTCCCTGGAAAAGACCCTGGCTGGATAGTGTTCTCGAAGCTACCAGCATGAGTTTGACCAAACTGCAGGAGGCAGTGGAAGACAGGAGTGCCTGGCGTGCTTTGGTCCATGGGGTCACGAAGAGTCGGACACGACTAAACAACAACAACAAGGGAACACTAAAGTAGCACTAATCTGTTATGTTTTAGGAAGATAAGTATTGGATCCCTAAACTCCAAATTCCTTAATGTGGAGTATGGTGCAATCCCCATGCAATAAATAATTGTCTAGGAAAGTCTCAAGAAGAAGATGCATCCAATAAATAGGCTGTATGCTTTTATTTTAGGTTTCCTACTCTGGAGAGCACAAATCAGTAATTTTGTGTTACCAACAATGACTTCCCACAAGGCTTTGCATATTTTAAACTTCTGTGTGAAATATTGCCCTTTTTACACCCCAAATTATACAATTACAAAGGTGCGCTTCACCTTGGGCAAATGGAGTACCAGATCAAACGAACATGGAAGACTACATCAGTACAAAGTTAAACAAATAAAGAACTGAAATTAGTTTAATGTAAGGGTGCTGCTGGGGCTTGTCTGCTTGGTTTGATTTTATCTCTACCATAAGTTTCCACCTCCCAGGTGTTCTTTATTAATCCTGAATTCACCCTTGTTGCTTGAAGTCCCCACGAGTCTAATATATTCAAGCTTACTTTGGCTTTTTGGCATAACTTACTGAGTTGTGTCTAATCCTCCCCTATGGAATCCAGCAGTTAAACATATGTGGTCAATTACATATAATTTTCTAGGATCAGACCACCTCACAATACCACCTACCCCCAACACTTACGGCTGTCAAAAGACATGGAGAATGGCATTGGGAGAACAGCAATTCTTGGCACGTGAACAGAGTTTCCTTCAGACTGAATAACCACTAGACCACATAGGCCAGGAAGGCAATGACGATTACAGTTCAGTTTCAGCTCCAAAACATGAAATCATGAGACTGGAAGGAACTCAAAGCCCCAAATCATACTTTAAGGCAGGATCTTCTACCAGATATTAATCCACATCCAGACCACATACCACATTACAGTATGCCACAAACACAGAGCGAGAATGAAAAACCCTGCAGGCAAGGAATAGTTTGGTAAAACAAATCCAAATGGCTCAAGCAAATAAGGCAAACATGCTATAAGGAAAGACAACGCCTTACCCCAAATTGATATGAGACAAAATTCTCTCTCAACACCAAATAATGCTTAAAATTATTTGAGAAGTGGAAACAGAGCTCCATAATAAGGGGAAAAAACCTTCCTGTAACAAAAAAGAAATATGGAATGTTGAAAGCCTGACATTTCCAAAATCCTCAAGCTTCCTGTAAAAGCTTCTATTTTTCTTTTGCCAAAGAAATAAGACTGCATCTTAAATTTCTATGTACTCCTATGACAATAAGTGGAAAGAAGCAAGGAAGCTTTATACTAATTACAAACATGAGCATCTGCATGAATTCACCATAATCGTTCTTCTACAATTTAACAGCTTTATGGGAAATCCTAACCAAATTCTGGATAATATTATGGTAAGCATTAATCGCACCCCCTCCACATTAAAAAATAAAAGAAAATGTTTCACTGACAACTTATAGATGATCCAGTGAGAGGAATGCTTTGCCTTAAATAAGTTCTAAACATAAATGTTTTGCAGAAACAATTGGCTGCGGTTAATTTTTGTGGCAAATGTAATTTCAACAAAATATTTCTTTCAGAATAGCTTGCAACTTTACCTAGCATAAAGTCAGGGTGGGGACACAGAGGGAACTATGTTCTCTCCAGCAAGTTCCAGGGCAGGTCTGGCATATTCTTTGAGGCTCAGTTGGTTGCTACGCAGAAGACAAAAGCTTTAGTGTTTTAAGGGAGCTATACAGAATCTTCATTGTAGGAAAATGAATTTCACTTAATATTACACTTGTACTACAAATCTATGGTGCAACAGCATTTGAAATACTGTATACCATTCTGTTCGCCTTACCTCAAAAAGGATACTGTAGAGTTGGAAAAGGTTCAGAAAAGGACAACCGATATGATCAAGGGGGTGGAGTGTTTCCCATATGAAGAAAGGCTGCAGTGTTCGGGATTTTTTAGCTTACAGAAAAGGCAAGTAAGAGGTGACCTTCCTCTCTCCTAACACTAGAACTCATGGACATCCAATGAAGCTGAATGTTGGCAGATTCAGGACAGATTTTTAAAAAGTACTTCTTCATGCAGCACATAGTTAAATTATGGAACTTGTTACCGCAGGAGACAGTGATGGCCACCAACTTGGATGGCTTTAGAAGAGAATTGGACAAATTCATGGAAGATAAGGGCTCCTAGTCATAATGGCTATGATCTTCCTACATGGTCGGAGGCAGTAACACTTCTGAATACCAGTTGCTGGAAGCCATAGGAGGGGCAAGTGCTCTTAAGCTTGGGTCCTGCTTCCTGGAACCTGGTTGGCCAGTGTGAGAACAGGATGCTGTGCATGATGGGCCATTGGCCTGACCCAGTAGACTCTTCTTATGTTCTTACTGTCTCTGGTCCTACTGCAATAACATCTTCAGGATAAGCCTGTTTGCCCGCATTCACACAAAAAGTGTATGGCTATACCATGGTTAGTGCAATGTGCA